GTAGTAGTAGTAGGTAGTAGTAGTAGTAGTGGTAGTAGTAGTAGTAGTAGTAGTAGGTAGTAGGTAGTAGGTAGTAGGTAGTAGGTAGTAGGTAGTAGGTAGTAGGTAGTAGGTAGTAGTAGTAGTAGTAGTAGTAATAGTAGTAGTAGTAGTAGTAGTGGTAGTGGTAGTGGTAGTAGTAGTAGCAGTAGTGGTAGTAGTGGTAGTAGTAGTAGTAGTAGTAGTAGAAGTAGAAGTAGTAGTAGTGGTGGTGGTGGTAGTAGTGGTAGTGGTGGTATTAGTGGTAGTAGTGGTAGTAGCGGTAGCAGTGGTAGTAGTGGTAGTGGTGGTAGTAGTAGTAATAATAGTAGTGGTAGTGGTAGTGGTAGTGGTAGTCGTAGTGGTAGTGGTAGTGGTAGTCGTAGTAGTAGTAGTAGTAGTAGTCGTCGTCGTCGTCGTCGTCGTCGTAGTCGTAGTCGTAGTCGTAGTGGTAGTAGTGGTAGTAGTGGTAGTAGTAGTAGTAGTAGAAGTAGTAGTAGTGGTGGTGGTGGTGGTGGTGGTGGTAGTGGTATAGTGGTAGTGGTAGTGGCAGCGGTGGAAATCGTAGTGGTAGCAGTAGCCGTAGCAGTAGCAGTATAGTAGTAGCAGTATAGTAGTAGTAGTAGTAGTATAGTAGTAGTAGTAGTAGTTGTAGTAGTAGTAGTAGTAGTTGTTGTTGTTGTTGTTGTTGTTCGTTGAGCATAATGTTCGAACCTCCTCCTGGGGGTCGGGTACGCAACAAACACGGTTTACATATTATTAGGCTGCGCAACGGCGATGTTGAAGAGCGTTCACGAAGATTACTCAGGTGTGGTTTTTGAAGCAGCCGTCCTACAGCCCCAGCCAGCCATGCATCGTCACCAGGACTGGGTTGGAGAACAGCGCATCCGTCGAAGATCTTTATTTATCTCTACAAGCCGGTCGGAGAAAAGTCCTGGGAAGGCTTATCCGAAGCGCTCGCGGCAAAGTCCTGCAGGCAACAGTGGGGCAGCTAAGGGCACGAAGGGGTTTGAACCACCTTTTATAACAGAGGGCCCTTCGGAAACCTTTTGAGGAAGTTGATTCCACGGCGGGTCCCCGGGCCGCAAGAGGAGTATAGGTAAGGTCCAAATGCTTTGGGCATGCACGCGCGGACTGGAGCAGGTGCCAGAAGTTGATGCACTGGAATCGGCCGAGCCCGCTTCCGCAAGACATGTTGTATGTACCGCAAAACCATATGTTGTGCGCACCACAACACATGTTGCGTGCACCAGAACATACAAGATATTATGTGCCTTCACCACAGGGGTTCCTGCGTCGTCTCTCACACCACATGTTTTGTGCCGTACGGAACATTTCGTGCGCTTCAAAGCGCAGCTCTTAACACATATTGCGCTTGCTCTCCGCCGCACATGTTGCGCACACCGCACTGTACAGTGTGTGTGTGCTTGACACCAAGTATAGCCGCACGATAAGCCCTAGTCACACCCGGTTCTTTGCACTGGCAAACAGCAACATGCTTTGGCAAGAAAGACGCGCCCAAGCACAGCAGAACATTCCACAAATGATGCCTCAGCAATAGGTGCAACAAGGGACAACACTTGACTCCTTTTGCTTCCAGCAACAGAACATGCTGTGCGCCCTAACAAAACATACCATCATTGTGTAACCAAAACATCTTGGGGGCCTGGGGCCCACTGTCCCAGCATGCCCCGGAGTCCTTCTGGACCTCGCGTATGTGGCCGACACTGTCTTGCGGACCACACAACATGTGCTGCGGTGCGCGCAACATGCACTGCGGTACTCACAACATGTGCTGCGGTACTCACAAAAGCGCAGCCACACAGTAGCCACACAGTGAGCACAGGCAAGGCAAGGACAAGAGCAGGGCCGTCTGCTCCACAGCAGGGCCGGCCGCTCCACAAACGCGGCAAGGATCAACAGGTGAACGGCAGGGAAGACACTGGCAGTTGAAAGGAGCGCGCGTAGGACTGGGGACGCGCTGGCTTGCAGCCCACAACTGGTCAAACAGTGCCGCTGCGAAAGCTTCTGGATTTGGAAGTAGCACAGGTTCAAGCAGCGGTTTTGCCTGCGAAGGCCAGCAGGGGCATGAATTTAAAGGGCGGGAAAAGCCTGGTCCGGCAAGCTTGCAGTTCCAGGGCTGCGCATGCCGCCCCTTTACAGTTTTAGCGCTTCGCTGCTTCTGATTTATTTTGGGTTTGTGTGTTGCGCGTGCCGGACGGAAGGACGGCGGATGACGGCGATGTAGGACGGTGGGCGGTAGGACAGCGGCGGTATGTTGTGGCGTCGGCGGTGGCGGTGGTGGCTAACACGGGTGATCCACGCTTTGAGAAACGTGTGACGTAAGACATCCGATTTGCAGACTTGCGAAGAAAGCCTAGTTCACAACAACTTCCAGGTCAAACAGCTCACGTGGCAAGAGTCGCAGTCGAATTTCGTCACGGCGCCACTGCGAAAAGAGGCTGAACCACTGTGGCAGAAGGACAGTGTCAGCCTCAGCCACTCCAGAAGATTATACGAAGACTCGTTAATTGCGCAGCGGGCGCTGCAATGATGTTTGTCGCAGGTTGCAGGGCTGTGGGCCCATCACAAGGGGGAAGTGGCTCAAGCGACAAGATCGCAAGCTCACGGCGTGGCGCAGTCGCGGTCGTGCGTAGACGGACGTGACGTGACATCACCAAGAGTCAACAAACAAATACAAATCAAACACAAATGGCTCCAATTTGCATCAGAAACCGTTTGTTTAAAGAAAAGAAGAACATTAAACAAACCCTATAGACCTCAAGCAAAACTGCAAAATGTAGTTTAATTGGAGAAGGTATAGCTGGAGGCTGACACCCATTGCTGCAATCCATAAAAAAATCGAAGGCAATCACCACATCAAACAGTAAGCGACGGCGCCCATGGAACTGAACCTCCTTGTCTTTTCGCGGCACGCTGGATTTCAGCCAGTGTCGGAGGCGTTGGAGCACGTTGCTGGTTGATGTCCTCGCCTTCTCCTTCTGCTCCTCTCCTCCTTGTTCTGCTCCTCGTCCTGTTCCTCGCCGCCCTCCTGCTTGTTCTGCTCCTCGTCGCGCTCCTTGTCTCCTTCTCCTCCTCCTTTCAGGCTCCGGAACTCCGATTCCTATATAACAAAGCAAAGCCAAGCATGTTGTGCCTTGATTTCTTGGTGCGCCCTGCCCCCGCCAGGGGGGCAAAAACGAGGTTAAAGGTTGCCCACTGAGGAAATAAGACACGGTGCTTGGCTGACCCGATCCAATCCAAGCATGCCCGATCATCATAATAAGTTGCAGCGGCCCCCCAGCCCCCCAGGAATTTGTATCCTATTTGTCCTTTATATTTGATGATCAAATGGAAACACTCCATGAGACTGTATATATGCCGCCCCCTTGTTCTGCCCATTGACATCCTTGACCCCGTTCAGTCGCGCGACCGAATGCTTGGGCTTCGCCCACAGGTCCCGTGGAGTGAGCGAGGAGCGCGGGGTCCCCGCCTTGGCCGTCTCTCTTACAACTGCTTCCTGGTGGAAGCTGAGTGGATTCATCACTGGGCCGATGAAGAGATCACTTGAAAAAGATCGCTTTGGACTGGAGTCGGGTCTTTCCTGTGCTAGAAAGAATGACACATATATACAACTTCAACACTACCCTGAATGTCCAGCAGAGTAGAGGAATTGCTTGTCTTTCTGTGGTGTGCTTTCGAAGAGAGATGCTGAGCATGGTTGTTTACATGCTCTCATGGCAAAATCACGAGCCACTGAGCTGTGCCCATTTACCTGTTCATGAAACATATGCTTTTGTCAGACTTGTATCCCCTGTGGACTGGCCTGTTTGTCCACCAGGCCAGGGGTCGATTTTTGAACCCGTCCCATGGATTGGGCACCAGTCCCTTGGATTGGGGCTTTCTATAATAGAAAACCGCACCAGTCCGACAGGCCCCGGAAGGAGGCCCCGGAAGGTGGCGGTGTTCTGCACAATGCTTGGGCCATCTTGGGCCCTCTATTGGTTGCTGAGGGCCTCCCTCCAGGGCCCTCCATTGGTTGGTGAGTCCTTGTCGTCTACCTGGAGTCTACCTGGTCCTTGCTGTTCGAGAAGCCCAGGACCAAAACGTTAACGTAACGTCGTTAGTCGCGCCGTGTTTCAGGACCAAGCCGTCTCCCTGGAAAGGTGATATAATTAAAGCTTAAGGGTGTTCAAACAATCGTGGGGAACATCAATTGCCCCAAACAGGTGTTGCAGGTGTTCCACTGAACTGCAGGACATCCAGCCACCAATTTATCCAGCTGCTGGCACAATATATATATATATATATATTATATTCCCATCCATACCAAGACGAATCGCACTCCACCAATCGAGAGAAGCCGACCATGCAGAAATGCGTGTTTGAGATACTCAGATCAAATGGGCCAGGCCAAGAGAAAGTTCATTGATCATTCAATCCTATGGTCCTATGAGCTATCACGCTCCAAAAAGGCCGTTGCCTCATGAATGCCGTTCAACACATAGTGTTCGATAGTATCACCTGTTGTGAAGTCTAACATGCTGCTCTCTCAGCTATCTTTCTGTTCCAGCTTCTGGGGACTGTCTCTTATGGCCTGGGGAGTCAAAGACTATAAAAAGAAGGGTCATTAGGTGACCCGAAAAGGAATCGCCTTTACTTCAGTCACTCAGTCGTTCAAAATATGGTCTTTAGATGTCTCATTGCTCCTATAATGAACCTTCTGCTTTCCAATCGGTTTCCAGCATTTCCAAGGTTCCCAACCTGGCACAGGATTAAACCCAAGAAGAACCCACCAATCTCAACTTCTTTTCATGGTTTGGCCGCGTTTTGCTCAACGACAAAAAGAAACAACAAAAACATTGAGCGCCCGCGTGTTCAACCCTGTCCGGTCTGTTCAAAAAAGCAAACACACACAGCGGTGCACACATTCTGCGCCTCGTCGGGCACCATATTGTCCACCTCCTCGGCACTGATAAAGCCGGTGCCACGTCGTCCAGTCACCTGTGTCATCGATGTCGTCTCGTGCCACGTCTGGTCCGAAAAAAAAGAGGAGGACAAGGGTGAAAGACAGGCTCAAGTGTGCCAATAGTGGTCCAAACAAGGATCCTAAACATCGACTCCATGCATGTATGGAATATATGCCGTCTGATGAAAAATGGGTTCCTTTTCAACCACCCCAATGTACAGCTGGGTACCATTGATGGACTACGGAGACAGAGCTTTGGGTGGTTTTGTTGCCTGTTTGGGCCGTCGGACGGGGAGCAACAAGGGAAAAAGAGGCTCAAGACTCAAGAGGGAAGGTTTTCGTGTTAGAGAGACCTCCAAAGGCATTATAAGAAGGTTTTTCATAGGGACTAGCTGAATGCCAAGTCACCCAACCACCATGTTCCTCTGGTACCCAAAGCTAGCAGCTAGTTGGAACACTATAGGAGGTAGCAAGTCCACAAGCCGTCGCCGTCAGCACTCGAGTCTTTCAGCCTTGGAAGCTGTCGGTCTTGGCTTCTCCTGTGGAGCTCGGTCGAGCTCGGGCATCCGTCGACGGTCCTGGTGTGCAAAACACCTGGGTGATCCCCAAGACCTGGAATCACCTGGAGAGGATCGCATGGTTTTGATCTGACCTCGAGGACATCGGATGTTTGAGCGAGGAAAAAGGGTGCAAGAAGTAGGCTGTGGTTCAGGCCCCTTGGATCTGGAAATCTCAAGGGCCAAGAGTTCGAAAGAACCCGGACTCCAACCATCGAAGGTAGGGACTGACCACCCTCCTCGACCTTCGTGCTTGGAGCCGGATAGAAATCGCTTCAAACACCCACGGAGGGTCCATCAACCCGAACGCGAAGGAGCGACCGAAACAAACTGGTGGCGATGCTTTCTCACTTCGCACAGAGTTCTGTCCTCAGACTGAGGTAGCGGAATCTAGTAAAGTCTTTTCAACGATTGAAGGTGATCCAAATACGTTTCTGGAGTCAGACGATCTTCTAACCTCAATGGTTAAATACATATTTTTGCACCATTCAGGGCCACCGGCCACCGGCCACACCGCAGCCGTGTTTTGCGCACCTCTGCCGTCTCATCGAAGCCTACTCTGCCCGGCGCAGTCGTCGCGGTCGTCACCTTCGCTGGAAGAGTGCGTCCGAGGTGATGCATTCACTAGATGACTCTCAATTTTTTAGCAGGTTTTTAGCAGGTCTTCAAGGGCAGTTTTTGATTTTTCAGCATCAGAACAGCCCACCTGGGCCTCATTCTCACCCTCATCCTCCTGACACGGCGCAACCCCATCCACTTCTCATGACAGACATTTTCGCTTGACGACGACAACAACAAGAACAAGGTACAAACAACAACTGCAACCCCATCAACATTGTCTCTCTTTGTCCCTACCAGTAGATGGAAGCCAAGACTGGAACCGCAGTGGACGTGGTCCGTGTGGACCTGGCTAATACACAAAAACCTAGCTGGGCAAAGTCTTGAATTGCGTCTAAGACCCAGCGTAGTCAAGGCGTTTCGCATCGTTTCGCCACTTTGGCTTTTAAACACTGAGCTGCCAGTGGTGGCTAAATAGCCTGCACACCAGCATGCATAGAATCTTCAAATTGGATGTTTGAGGTTCTCTTATAGGGTGAGGTACTCGGGGACGGGTACCGCTGGTACAGCTGTTTCTAAACAGCAGTTATCCGTTACGCTGGTGGGTGGCGATTCTGGGACCTGTTTCTGGGAGCAGCAGCACACAACAACAACAACAACAAGGTACAAACAAAAACTGCAACCCCGTTACACCACATCTTCTGTCTTTTTCTCTACAAGGGGGTAGAAACAAATTCTGCAACCCCGTCGTTGTTTTTGACCCCCCCGCAAAAAAGAATAGCCAGCCAACAAGCACTTTACTGCTACTACTACTACTACTGGTGGTACTGGTGCTACTACTCCTAGTCTAGACTATACACTGAAAATCAGTCTTTTCTTGGAGACTCCTGGAAGTTTTCGGATTCCAATGGAACAATATGGTCGATTTAAACGCCTTCTTAGGGTCTATGAAACTCCTCTGAGGGTCATGCTACTGGTGATGCTAGTTGTAACTGGTTAAGTAAGCCCTGTAAAACTTCTACTTAGAACCTCTACCACATCGTAGAAACTGCAACCCCGTGGTTGTATTTTGGACCCCCCCCCTTCCAAAAGATGTTGTTGTCTCTACCCCCCTAGAAACAAAATCTGCAACCCCGTTGTTGTTTTTTGACCCCCCCCCAAAACAACACAACAAAAAACAAGAAGCAGACCAACCAAGACTTGAGTACCACAAGGACAAGAAGTCCAGCTACTAACATCTCTCCAAACCTTCGACCCTATCCCTAACAGAATCCCATTGAAATCCCTGACTTGCAACATGTGACAACTATGTTGGGCGGCTGCTTTTGTCTCTACAAACAACAACAACAACAACAACAACAACAACAACAACAACAACAACAACAACAACAACAACAGCTGGACCATCCTGTTTGGGTGTCCAGGCTGGAGATCTCGGATAGTAGCGTAGGGTGGTCCAGCCAGGACACCCACACAGGATGGTCTGGTATGATGATTCTTCCCTAGCATCTGAGTGATGAAGTCTAGCAAAAACCAACATGCCCTCAAGATAGGGAATACAACAAAAAACACCTTGATGCCAACACCAGGGATCGGTGGTCTGACACCGGGACCGTTCCGTTCGTCGGGAGTCCTCATCAGAGCCCAGCTCGAAGAGGGCATACGCAGAGAGCGTGTGCCCCTGCTTGCGCGGCGAGACCTGCCAAGCGCGCGGCGCGAGACATGGAGTTTCGGCGCGAGACAAGGCGGTGGCTTTGGCCACCGGGCGAGTCTTTTTCAGCCGCGAGGTTCGAAGCAACGGATCGTGTTACTAGTAGCAAGACGCTACTAGTAGTAAGGCCAGGAGCTACTAGTAGCGTCCTTGCTCCTAGTAGCGATGCCATCGGAAGTTCAGGTCCCTTAGAGAGAGGATATTCCTGCACACATGTGCTCTGGCTCCGAACATCCAGTAGCAGTTGAAATGTGGTCTTCGTCATGTTGCACTCACTCAGACTCAGTTCCCCTAATAATTATACGCCTTCGCGGACCTTTAATCAGTTTTTTTGAACAAGAGCCACAACCCTGCCAATTCATACCCATCGGCATCCTTGTATCAGCTTCCTCACTTCGCATCTACAGAAAGCACGCAAAAGCCTGCACAATCACAACATATCGAAATGACAAACATCACCCATCACCACTCACCACCTAATAAGATTCTTGTCCCACGAAACCAAACCGCCCTCCCGCCGCCCTCCTTCGTGTGTTCCACCCGCAGTCCCCCAAAGTGGACCGCTACCCTTTCGCCGAGCGCGCCGAGCAACCGGGAAAAAACCCGCCACGCGTCACGCCGCATCCGGCATCCGCCTGCTGCTTCATCGCCGACTTCCTGGGCCATCGATTCTGCTGCTCCTGCGCGCCGAATTCGGTCTCCGGGTCTCCGGAAGGCACGTTGAGTCTTCAGGTCTCCGGAGCGAAGGGAGTGATGGCCGTAGGGGGTTGCAAACGGCAAGGAAGAAGGACCGTGGTGCAAGGAAAGTAACATGGAAAACACATGGCCCGCCCCGGCCAAACATCTCAAAACAGGTGACGACACTTCATCTCATCCAGGTGGAATCCATGTTCCACGCCAAGTAAGGTTCCAAGAAACAACCCCTAAACCTGAACAGCGCATGATTCTGGTATTTTTCCTAAAGAAAGACATGCATCATCTGAACCCTACTACTTGTCAAATAATTGATCAAACCATCTCGATTGGGGTCAAAATTACTATCTGTCAGGGATGTGGGACTTATCTAAGCCATTATTGGCTTCTCGAGTCCTCTGTGTCTTCCGAAGAGGAGAACAGACCCACTTCTACTTGCCGCACCTATGTCGTACAATACACTTCCATACACCTTGTGCAGGGTCCACAGGGGGTTTTGTGGTCCAATATCCTGGTTGTTTTGAGCTTGAACTCCGATGCGGGGCTCTACCAACTTCCCAGCGCTGCGCTCCAAGGCTTCCGTCTTGTGTGAACATCGCATGAATCGGCACTCTCGTATAGGATAGTATGGTTAATAATTACATGTTGTGCCTATCACTAATTACTTTCCTTTTGACCAGAGGAGCAGTGCCTCACTTTCACATCCCACATCTCAATCTGCACAAAACAAAAATGCGCCGTGCCTCCTCCTCTTCGGGAGGGAGTTGGGAAGCCCGAACCACGCAGGTATCTTGCCGGACCTGGCAGAAATGGTGCAAACATCGACCACTTGGGATGGAGGGCTGACAGGGCGTTGCACCATAAGTTCAGCAAAAAAATTGAACAACAAGAGGAAAGAAACACACAATTTAAAGAGTGTAAAGGTCCATATAAAGAAAAACATAATGATCATAATGACATATAATGACAATTTATGACATAATTGAAGAACAATCAAGGACTTAACTGCCCAATACTGCCCATGACCGCAAGAGAAAACGCCACTGACTCGCCACCGCCATGTCCTACTCAGGAAAAAAGAAACGTCACCCTGAACCGGACTGCTTGAGTGCACCGAGCCAGCCAGCGTTGATTCAGCTTATTCAGCTGGTAGCAGTCCATGGGTTGAGTGATTGGAGGAATGTCCCGAACTCGGAGGTCGGAAGGGAGTCATAGAGGGGTACCATGGGATACCACTTGGGGTACCATATCCCTTTAGGGGGAAGAAACACGACCCATGGGTATCCCCTCAATCAACCAACCAATCTGGCAAAGCAAATCGATGCCCTGCGAAATATCCTGTCAGCAGTTTTGAAAGGAGCCCTAGTAGGAGTCCAAACGATTTTGTGCAAACATCAACGCCTGTGAAATTTCTATCCACTTTTGGCGTAGAAAGGGCCTGAACAATCCTCAGTTTGGCATAGAAATACCTGTCGACTGCGGTTGTGTTGTGTGCTTTAACACCGGCTGCTTGGCTGTTCTCCTAATTATGCTGTTCTCCTCATCCACTTCACCATGCGGCACATGGAAAACACATGAAAACACAAATACACGCCCACCTTTGGCTTGGGTTCGCCCTCGTCTCCTCTGGCCTGGCGGAATACCATGTATCTTCTCCATCGCGTCGACAACACTGAGTGCCGTTCCAACATCGTTGATGGAACGGGCTATGTGCGCCCAGTCTATGTGCCCCTCCAAAAGGTCATGACCTCTGGCGCTACAATGTTCCATCGACAACCACACATGCACCACATGACCACCAAACCAAACACAGTGGAATTTTGAACCTATAGCGACCTATATATAGATACTAGTAGCGTCCTTGCCCCTAGTAGTACGGCCAGGAGCCCCTAGTAGCGTCCTTGCTCCTAGTGGCAAGCCCTTTGCTCTCAGTAGCGTTCTTGCTCCCTAGTAATGGATCTAGCACCTTGGTTCAAAAGGTCACGCATGCGGCTGGGGGCCGGGAGGGAATCCTTTTCTTTCAGCGATTCTGGCACATTTAAAATAGGACAGCTGTTGTTGTACGCTTTTGCCTTCCACTTCACGAAACAAGGCTGCTCTTGAGACACAGCCACGCATTGGGCAAGCCAAGCCCCATATAGTTCTGTATAAGTTAACGTGAGATTCTTCGGTATCCATTCCGTCGGACACGGAACACATCGTGTCCTAAAATCGCTGTCCGAACTGTCCATCAGACCTTGCTTCGAACAAAAACGCTCACCCCCATAGGTCTGTGTCAACCAGGCGTTGAAACCCAACAGACCCGCCGGCGGGACCGCCCCAACCGGTGAAGCACGGGACCCGCCTGAAATGAGACACTGGACTCCTGCGGCGAGTCATGCGTGAGGTGCAACGGATTATGTGAGGTGGCACCGGGATTCAAAGACCCATGGACATAGAAATCCATCTATGGCACCATGAATTCTCTGATTCTGGTTGAGTTGGTGGGGCACTTGGTCAAAACTACATATCTGCATGTCATGTTTAATTTGGATTCAATGTCCGTGGCACGCTCAAGTCAGTAAGAAACTTTAGGCAATGCCGTACCTTCTCTGATCTATGAGCACGAAATGTACATCTTTGTCTTGATGCCCCGTCGATAGACTTGTGATAATGTTCTGCTATCCCTAACTATCCCTGCAGCAAGTATGGGCAGTGTCAAACATCGAGGTGTTGACCCACATCCTCAGGTGGATCATAGCGGCAAGACCCTGTCAACAAACCGATAGTGAACGAGCATTCGTCTACCCCAAACATATTTGTGTATTGCAAAGGTTTGTAATGATTATGTCCATTGTTTGGACCAATTTCTGATCATTTTCTCCGGGATCGACACCTTACACCATGCTTCCTGGAATCCAGTGGGTCTATTGAAATAGCGAGACACCTCTCGAAAAGGACCTTATTGGAAAAAACACAATGTAGATTGAAATCCTATACGCGCACCAAGTCAGTGGTGGGTAATCATCAAACCCACTCTTCCAAGGATATAGGGATGATACGATACTCTGCCGCCCTCGAGAGCGCATCACACACGAAAAGAACTAACAAAACATTCCCTAGGGATCCAATCGTACCCTCTCAGAAGGTACGACTGGACCCTCCTGGCACCTACATAACAGTGTCGAACACATCACCTCCTGAGAAGGTACTTGGATCCTAGGGATCATAAAACATTATAAAACATGATGATCCATAACGTGAGAACGCGGGGCTCTCGCCAATGACATAGGCCACTGGAAGCAGCCTATTTTCTCTACAAAGCAGGTAATGACGTCGGAGAGTAAGCCTCCGAACTTATTTGATTGCTGGGTGTTTCATCAACCTCTGCCTTTTTGCCCCATGATGGCCGGACCCAGCTCGCTGCAAATTGGCAGGGAGGGTGACGTGCACGGTGATGGCACCAACAGCCATATTCAGAAATCCGCCGTGTCCGCAATCTTCAAAGGCACCGTGTCAGAGATATGAGGAAACCGTCTTCAGCGGTGTCTTCTGCGCTTTGCCCCTCGGCAGTTCCTAAAGGCACCTTGCCCAACGTGCTCAACTGAGTCTGGGATGGTCAAGTTCACCAAAGAACTGCAATGCTGAAAGGCATGATCCCCAATGTGGATCACTGAGTCAGGGATGGTCAAGTTCACCAAAGAGCTGCAAGGGTGAAAGGTCAAATTTCCAATGTGGGTCACCGAGTTCGGAATGATCAAGTCAACCAAACAGCTGCAACTAGCAAATGCACAATTGTCAATGTGGGTCACAGAGTTTGGGATGGTCAAGTTTGCCAAAGCGATGCAATCTGCAAAGGAATGAATCCCGATGTGGGTCACTGAGTCTGGGATGGTGAAGGTCACCAAAGAGCCGCATTCCAGAAACGTCTCAGGTCCAATTTGGGTCACTGAGTTTGAGATGGTCAGGTCGACCAAAGAGCTGCAATGCTGAACCAGCAAAGGCACTTTCTCCAATGTGCGTCGCTGAGTTCGGGATGGTCAAGTTCACCAAAGAGCTGCAATGCTGAAAGGCTTGATCCCCAATGTGGGCCACCGATTCCGAAATGGTAACTTTGGCCACCATGTCGCAACCGTGAAAAGCGTCCTCAAGGATGTGCGTTTCATCATCTGGAAGTTCGACCACAGGCAACAGTTCCGAGTCAACAATGCCACCAAGACTGACGATTGAGTCTTTGTTGGACCATATCACTTTGTTTGATTTGAAGACACCACTCACAACAGCATCTTCAGCAATTCCAGCGTCCAATGCCTTTGCATCATTGCACAGCAATTGGTTGTCTCCAATAATGATCTCCACGCTCGTAGTGCTGCGAGTGAGCTCGTCCCAAACCTGTCCCTCCTTGATCTGCTGCTTGAGCGCGCGGCCTGTCATCTCTGGCGTGACTTCAAAAAACATGACTTCACCACTCGGCTGCCGTGCTGAAATTCTCTTCGCCATGGCTCAAAGACCTTGACGTATTTGGATTTTTTATGTTTGTGTCTGTCTGTCTTCTGCTAGCTCCCCGGCCTTGTGGCTTTTGGCACTGAAGCATGGAAGACCTATACAACTTACAAGAACGTGCAAGAAACTGCTGCTCTGCACTAGACATGCACCTTTGTTTGCAGGCATCAGATCAGGCTCGCAGTCCCCATAGGATCAACATAGAATCCACAAAGGATATCCACCCAAACCAAGGCCAAACATTGTCGTATACATTGGTCAAGGTCACTCCAATGATTAAGCTTGCCATGATACCCTCCAAGACCCCACATGAAGTCTACAACCACCTCTTTGTAATGGTAATTTAAGGGGCCATGCCACCCACTTTCATGCGTGTTTCAGGGAGTGCAGGAACACATGTGTTTTCTTTCCGGAGCTACCCTCCCAAAGCTAGTTTACTGCTGTCTACCACTCCAGTCGAGGAAATCCATGCTCTTCCAAAGCGCAGGGCATCGACCAATTAGGGGAAACCCTTGTCGTCCCCCTTTTCGTGGATTTCCGGTCCAGGAACCGCTCCAAAAATAGAAAAAAGAACCTTCACCAGGTTGGGGGAATCACTCTCAGGGAAAAGCACAATCACCCAGCTCCAGCAAAGGCCAGGTGTTCCAACTTGCAGGATGCTTAACCACCCCCCCCCTCAGCAAATTTGAAAGTATTTAACAAGGCTTATAAGAAGGCTTTCCCAGTGGATCCAGGGTGGCCACGGAAACCAGAGTCTCGGTCGAATCGGTCTTCCGTCGTCACCGGCCACCTACGAACTGCCTTCACGCCTGGATGTTCACCCGGCTTTGCGGCCTCCTACGACCTGGCCTTCCGGCCCCTTCATCCCACAAGAGCGCTCCTCGTCGGGAAGATCGGACAAACCCACGAAGCCGGTGCCTTGCTGCACCTCAAAACTCTTCCGCCGCGGCCGTCGGGGCATCAGTCGAAGGGTGAAAAACTCAATGTGCATTGACGCACATGGGTTGGATTGAGAAGGTTTAGATGGATGTCCAATGCCTGTGTGTGTGTTGCAAAAGAAAAAAGCAAGAATTGTGTTTTTTCCTACACATGTTATGATGTTTACTTGATTGGATTTGGATATAAGCCGTCATTTGATGATAAACCAATGGACATGGCGTGGATCAAAGGAGTCTTCCAGTATATCGAGCCTTTATTAATATCGTGCACAATTGCGAGTCTCCGACCAGTGTTTTCAAGCTCGTTTTGCGGGGTGAACATGTGAAAGGCCAAAATCAAGTTGCACTCTGACTGGTGATTCCTATTCCCTGTATGCAAATTGTGCATCGACATGAGAACGACGATCGCCATACAACATCATAAAACCAATATCCCCAGCACTTGACTTTCTTTGGATCCCCCACAAGGGTTTAATCTTTGATGACTTCTTAGATGTAATATGACGTAATGGTTCACAGCAGCGAGTCCCCAAGGCCTAAAAACATGGCTTGTTCAGACTTGTTCATCACAACACATCACAACTATTTTCCAGGACGACGCCCTCAAAAAAATGCTGAAAACTTTTAGTTTGATGTAGACTTTGACATCCTTTTGATGAACAAGAAACACAATATGGATTGTAAAACCTCTTAAGCTTTATGCACGCTGTATTTTTTCTATCATCCTACATAAAGTGCATTTACAGCTCGACACCCCGCTTGCAAAGCAACACTGGGTGGTCGAAAACGACCATCTCTTTGGGGATTCTGAGCAGCTCGGAATCAAAACCAACGCCGCCAGGCGCCAATCCGCGCCACATCCCTTTGGATTGACCACTTAGCGATGTTTTCTATTTTGTTTAAAGGCATAATTATGTTGCTTTTAAGTTCATGTCCAAATCAATTGCTATCCCATCATCTTTACTCAACTCTGCAGAGTGTGATACGAGTATACCAAGATTCAATTCCAATTTGGTGTCTTGTGTTGCTGAACAAAACGAGCACATATATACCGTACCACAAATGTGTGTCGGAACATCCTAACATCCTATGACTACACTCAGAAACAGGTGAACCGTACTCCAAAGTGGGTACCCACCAAACAGCTTCGACCGATTCGATCCAAACACATCACGATGGTGGAACACCCTAGAGGTCCCATCTGACCCAAACCCTGTCCTTTACAGACCGTAAGTTGAGTGCTTTTGGTATGACCAACATCCTGAATGAGTGTCGGTGCTGAATAGTAGTGCTGAATGTGCTTCCTGTATGTCAGTGCTGTATGTCCTGAGTGTCTTGATACCTGACATCGAACTGTTGGTCATCAGTAAGGTCCACCTATTCGATATGTCAACCTCTGGCCAGTGGCCACTGTCGAACAGGTCGAGCTGGCGTGGAAGGCAAAGCACCGAGCTCGGGTAGGTACCCTCCTGCTATTCGAACCACATGGACCCCCATTGACGTAAACTGGGTTGGTCTTCGGATGCCTTCGGAAAATGGTCTTCCACAGGTGAATTCTCGCAGTCCATCTTAGTCTGCAGGGATGTAATCCCACCTGGTTCCAAAAACTAAAAACACCATGGACGACCAACCCATGGACCACCATGGACGGGCACCTGCTTCCTGGCGGATCCCCCGGTGATCCGTTCAAACAGCGAAAGCTGGTGCAAGTCAAAGCACCTTGGGCTTGGGATCACCCTGATCAGCACGTGCCTGAGCTGTCGTGGAACAGATTTCAAGGCTTCATCGGGTGAACATCCACTTTCTTAAGGCCGACTAAGTGGCCGCCACCTCGATGTCTTTCCCTCGCAAAGGATGGAGGTCCCTCGAAGTCTTTGTCTTTCTCTCAAAATCTTTGCTTCGTGGACTGCAGTTTGGAGGGGTACACATGACCGCTGGTGGCGAGAAGGTCGAGGGCGAGAAGGTCGGATCCAGGGCGCCAGGAATTCGCAGCTTCCGGTCGCAAACGAACTCCTGGCGCATCAAATAGTCTCCTTCCTCACCGTACCGACCTGGTTCGGTATGGGGATCCTTAGGGTACACGAACCATCACGAACCAACGAACACATCACATGGTTAAGTTACATACGTGGATGGCACCCCCCTGTTTGTAGAGGACAGTTCCAGGATCCCGTTTTCCACTTCCACGTGAGTGAGTTCTGTCTCGTCTCTGAGGGACACATCCTCTTTGGTCCCAAAGATGCAAGGGCAAAAACCCTGAAGTCAGCATAGGGCATAGGTAGCTTCTCCGGTAAAACTTTCATGTACCGCATGAGTACGTTGAAAACCCCTGACTAACCATCATTGCTCTGTGATTCTATACCTACCAGTAGGGGCATCATAGACATAGATGGTGCCCAAACCAAAAGGATTCAATCTATCTTTGTTTTCATCTTCTCACGGTGGAGCTCCAGGAAACCTTCACAACATGGAAACGTTCGAGCCAGGCTCTCCAACCAGCGAAAAGCTTGGAGTTTAGCTATAGCCTTCCTTTCGCTAGCGAGCTTCCACGAAGAAGCCGCCCGGAGGAGAACATCGAACATCCAGTCACCATCCCAGACGGGTCGTGTCTGGGCATTGTTCTTTCAAGTCGACTTCGGTCTCGTTGCGATGTCTCAGACCCGAGCGGAGCACCGGTGCTCCGCTCGGCCCGGAACGAAGCAGTTCTGAACAGCGGGCGAACGAAGTGCTGCGCTGAAGTTGGCCCATCCCATGTGCACCACTAAGTGGTAGACTCTTGACTCCTGATCAATAAACCTGTTTATTCAGATGATTGGACATCCTCTTCAAGTTTGGGGGGGATTATTCGTATCAACCAATTGCATCCAATTGTCTACATTCTGCGCCACTACAGGGGTCCTAGAGTCCTTGGAAAAGCTCTCTCGACCGCTCGCGCGGTCCACGCGCAGTCTACTGAGGGCCCATCTTTGAAGCTCACGCTGTTGGTCTCCTGCTGGGGAGAAAGACAGCTGAAATGCCGTTGCCCCGAAAGGATTGGAGGTGACGCTCACGGTCCCGCATGTTCATTGGTACATGTCTCAGCCACAAAGAACCTGAGTGAGCTCGATGTTGCATCACCAACCACCCAAACAATCTGTTGTTTTGTCTGTAATTACTCAGAAAAGATTCTTCTGGCCCTAGTTTCAGAGCTGCAGTGAAAACAGAGTGAACAGATATCTGTGGTCTTGTTCTATCGAAACAGGGATCATGTTGGGGTTCTAGGCAATGCTCCGTCATCTGCCACTTGGGGTGCCGCCACATGGAGCCCATGCTGCCAAACACTCTTTAACATGGTGTCCACCAAGGTGAAGATGAAGATCTTCGACCACGTCACGCACATGACTGACCAATTCCCTGCCCTACACCTCCAGTCGTACCTCCTCAGAAGGCATGACTGGACCTTCCTGGCACCCACCCCAGTCCCACCTTCTCAGAAGGTACATGGAGGCCTACAAAAATCATGCACATTACACATTTCGCGAGACTCCAACATGCTCCTGCTCCTCCTCCGAGCCCTCTGAGGGAAGGTCACCAGCAGCAACAAAGCCGGTGCCTTTGCGGACCTCCAATCAAACACAGCGCTTCTTCAGGCCGCTTGAAAATACAGAACCCCAACTGTTTGGGGACCTGCGTTTCCTTCCGCGCAAGAGGACCCCATGCCTCATGCCTCCCATGCCTCTCATGTGCTCTTCGACCCCACCAGTGATTCCCAGTGCTCAGCCAGTGCTCAACGACCACACGACGCAACACACGACCACACCGTTGGACCCAGTCGAAGGTGCCCCTCTGCCTTGGGTCGAAGCTGCCCCTCTGGTCCAGAAGCCTGCGCAGGGGTGCAAAAAGACAGCGATATCATATCACCAATTTACCATGTTTCATGTATAACAACATCTAATCAGATAGAATGAGTACATCATATCTAATCTTATTATACATCTTACATAATACATTTGGATCACATCCGATGACTCAGCAAACCTGGGCTCCAGTGAACACACAAACCCGACAAACACACGACGCAAAAATAGCCGTGCGATAATGACACTGAGAAAACTCGCCCAACAAAACCCCCTTGGAAGAAGCAACATAAACCAATGCACACCCATCTGGTAGTCTCCCTACTCATCCCTACTCTAATGCACACCCATCGAGCTCGAAGTCTTTGCACACCAAAGACTGCACTGTTTTGATGTTTCAGGGACCTGGAAGGAGACTGATGCGGGCTCCTGGCCAAAGGTGCATGGGCCAAATGAGACACCAACAGGTACCATATTTCATTGCCCCCAAGCTCCAACCAGATCGTCAGAAGGTAGGGACCCAAGCACCAAAATGGAGGTACTTGGAGCCCTATGGACGGTATGACTTCAGCGATTGAGAACTCAAACTTGTTGAAAGGGACACCCATGGACAAACAAACTGGCCTATGCTGCAGAGAAGCCAGCAGGAAAGCGCATGCAAAAACACTAGATCACGCACGGGAGCAAACAAGGAAACGAATGCCTGGTCCACTTCCCTTGTGGCCGGAGTCGGTTATGATTGCATCCTCTTCGACATGGGACAAAATGGGACAAGCTGTCTATATAGAAATGACTTGACATATCCCAGCAAGATTTGTGTGGTACGGAAATACAAAATTATTGGCATGTTGCACTTGATGCTCTTTGCCTTGATGCAAGGTTTGGACCATGTTTCGGCGGGCATATATGGCATACTAACGGAGTGTCTGGGATATATAAATGACCCATGAGGTCAACGTATGTAACTGTTCCAGCCCCATGCATGGTCTGGTCTGGGAAGTAGGGGCTACCGTTTCGTCGTAACAGACCGGTTGATTGGTGGTCGCTGCGACTTGTTCCCGTACTGCCCTGCGGTCGTGTGGAAGAAATCATTGAATAACAGATTAACAGCAATCTTTGGCACCTCAAACCACAATCGAACGCAATTTTGCGTCCTCTTCATCATCTGATGGCAGCTCGGAAAGACTCACATAGCCTGTTCCCTTGCGGACCTTCAAATGACAAAACAAAACAACACCTCTTCTTCACTGAACAACATCAAATAGCGTGCCTTCCCTTTCGGATCACCGGTATGTCCTTCGGCCTAACAAGGAACAAGCAACTAGATTTAGCTAGCTTGTCAGTCACATGAAGCACACCTGCATGCATTTGCATCTGTCAGGCAACATAGTAAATGCATGTAAAGGCCTTCGAAGGAACATTGAAGGTCACTCCTCTTTCCTGCAAATACTTCAGAAACGGGAAGCGTGCGGAAACAGGGGAAACAGGATACTGTAGAATACGCGGCCAAATAACTCAAGTGAACCACGCAACTAGTAGCTAGTTGTTTCATCTTGTTTCTCCTCGTCCGATCCATCCGATGGAAGATCTGATGCAGCCACGTATCCAGTGCCTTTTCGAACCTGCGACAAAGTCCGACAAGTGCTGTGAAAAATTTACACTAGCTCTGTCATACTATCACGATCTATCATGCCGGCACTAGTGCATATAGTTGATGAAGGCCAATGCAGTCAACCACTCTGGAGTGTCTTGAACATATGTGATGCACACAGATCTCGTCTCATTGCGACCCAATCCTTGGTCCGAGGTTGTCCTTCTTGTCCAGATGCCTGCTGCTGATCACAAGACCAAATGACTAGCTTTGAAAGCTTGCATCTTCACTGAACAACGCTCTCTGACAAAACACATATATGAATGATGGCACCTGGAAGGATACTGATGCTGTTCCCTGGCCATTCAGCATTTAAGGAGAAATAATAAGAAAAAAACTGTATTGAGCTCGACGTCATACAACGTTAAAGACATGTAGCGGTCATAGGTGTCCTCTTCATCATCTGATGGCAGCTCGGAAAGACTCACATAGCCTGTTCCCTTGCGGACCTTCAAATGACAAAACAAAACAACACCTCTTCTTCACTGAACAACATCAAATAGCGTGCCTTCCCTTTCGGATCACCGGTATGTCCTTCGGCCTAACAAGGAACAAGCAACTAGATTTAGCTAGCTTGTCAGTCACATGAAGCACACCTGCATGCATTTGCATCTGTCAGGCAACATAGTAAATGCATGTAAAGGCCTTCGAAGGAACATTGAAGGTCACTCCTCTTTCCTGCAAATGCTTCAGAAACGGGAAGCGTGCGGAAACAGGGGAAACAGGATACTGTAGAATACGCAGCCAAATAACTCAAGTGAACCACGCAACTAGTAGCTAGTTGTTTCATATTGTTTCTCCTCGTCCGATCCATCTGATGGAAGATCTGATG